CCCCCGGTGCCCCCAGGCCTCGCCCCCTGCTGCTCCTATTGGCCACTATTATGGCCAATCAGAGTCATGGGGGAAAAGCCTCCAGGCAGTGCATTGCTGTGTCAGCTGAGGGGAGGAGGGAACGGCAGCACACAGTCATTTCCTTCTCCCACCAGGCTGAGCCCGTGGGTCGGATCTGGCTCTGGTTTGCCTGACTCGGGCCCGCGAGGCTCAGGGCCCACCATTCACTTGCATCACAATTAGCTGGTGCATGTAAGATGAACCCAGTGAGAGGTCAGGGAGATGTCCCCACCCTTCCAGCAGGCTGACAGAGGGCAGGTGACTGAGTCATTCCCAAATAAATACTGCTTGGAAGCCATGCTGTGAATCATTCCCCCAGTCAGTGTGTGTTTGAGCTGCGATTTCTATCACATGGATCTTACCATCTTTTCTTTCTAGCCTGGAGCATTTGACCAAGCCATAGAAGATCTAAAAACCCATGTGGTCGAAAATTCGGGGGAAACTGCTCAGAGCTTCTGGCTTTTGACGGAGTGAGTAGTCATGATCTCGCACGAGGTGGTGGCTCTCTTAGGGGCTGAGAGAGAGAAACCGCCAATAGGTGGGAAGGGGGGATCATATAGTGACCGTGGTCAGGTTAAACTCTCTGGGCTCTGCTTGTAGAGACACCAGCCAGTAGCAAGCTGGAAAGGGAAACTGTAGGGAGACGACCTCTAGGCGCAGAACAAAGTAGGCCTGTGCCTCCTGTATAATGGTGTAAGGAGCTGTGCAAAATCTCTTACTCTCAATGATATGTTTGGGAGTGTTGGGCAGATTGTCACTGGCAAGTGCTGTAGAAGTGTCATTTATTCCATTAGCTCCAGTACAATCCAGTGTATAGTGCACTGTACAGGGACTCAAGAGACCTGCATTCAGCTCCTGGCACTGCCACTGACCTACTGGGTGACCTTGGGCAAGTCACAGCTTGGCTCCGTGCCTCAGTTTCCCCACCTATGAAACACAAGTCAGACATTGGGAATGGTCACACACACAGAAACCTGAGTGTGTGGAGGGGGACATTTTAACCTGCCTGGATACTCAATCATGGATTTAAAAGTGGCCCCACCTATGAAACACAAGTCAGACATTGGGAATGGTCACACACACAGAAACCTGAGTGTGTGGAGGGGGACATTTTAACCTGCCTGGATACTCAATCATGGATTTAAAAGTGGACAAAGGAATTTCACCAGCCAATTAGAGAGTGCTGAATTGACATTGGTCTGCAAATTGACACTGTTTTGCTGGACTTGAACAAAGACACTAATTGGATATCACATTATAAAAGCCAGTCTCCCATGCCTTTAACACCTCATTTTTACATCAAAAGCTAAGTATGGGACACTTGCACTTAATTAGCCTCATTAGCATCAGTCCTACAATTGACAGGTACTATTTTTTCCCCTTTCTTTTTCTGTTATAAATTCTGGGTTCCTGTTGTTTCCATTCCAGCTTATCTGAAGAAGTGGATTTTGCCCACAAAAGCTCATGATCTACACTGCAGTGCTATTTTGGGATACCAGAGGTATCCAGAAATAGCTATTCCGCATCTTAACAGCAAGCCCGTTATTTCAAAATATAATGGGCTTGCTATTCTGACATTCCTGTAAACTTAATTCCATAAAGGAGTAAGGGACGTTTTGGAATAGCGGGTTATTTTGAAATTTGGAACTGTGTAGCCAAAGAATGTGAAATATTTTGAAATTGACTTTAAATAAACTACTCAATTTGCGTAGCTTATTTCGAGCTTCTGGTGCAGTGGAGACACCCTCTGAGGTGCCACAGGACTACTTGTCATTTTTAAAGTGACAGACTAACATGGCTCTCCCTGTGAGACTTTTAAGCTACTTCAGCAGTGCTGGGGCTAGCAGGTGTGTGAGATTTCAAGAGACCCTATGTGCATGCCTTCGAAAGACAGGAGTCTCAATTTCCACATGCTGGTGTTCCTGGCGCGCATTAAAATGAGGGCAACCAAGCTCCATTAGAATAGTTTCCCAAGTGTTGGGGTGGACTCTCCATTGCTGATCATGCTTATAACATGACTAGATATTTTTTTATTCAGGGGTTGTCCCAATTGCGCATGACTGGCTGATCCTTTCTGGTCATAGACAATGTTCCCTCTCATTTTTTCCATTCATGTGCAGATTTTTTCCACTCATGTGGGGAATAATTTTTTATGTGCACCACAGCATGTGTAGATGTGCACCACCCAGAGAAACATAAACCTAGCTGTGTGCGCTCTGCTAATCCACTGGGCGGCACTGGCATTTCTCCTGAGCGGCTGCACAAGCACCCAGCTTCTAGGGAATAATGGTCTTAGAATCTAGGAATCTTTAGGTGGCTTTGGAAATTCCAGCTCTGGATTTATATTTAATCACCGGCCACTTATCTGACCGGTCAAAGGCCCTTTCTAAACCTGGAACCCGACCTTGCCTCTGGGTTTACAGAGTTGGGGCCAGGGTTCCCTGTAAGCTGGGGGGCGTGGTGGCATTTCAAGCTTTGCTTGCAGGGCACATTGGTGATGAGTGGCTGCCGTTCTTCTCCTGCCTGTCCTCTCCTGCCAGGACTGCCAAAGGGGGTCACCTCCTCCCGTTTCTGAGCTGGAGCACGACTCAAACCACTTTGCTCCCAGCGGGGCTGAACTGCTGCGCGGCTGCTTCCTCCGGTGCCTTGTTCCGCTCTCCCTTTCATTTAGCACCAAATGCTTCTGAGGCCCGTGCCATGGGGGTGATGCCGAATGGCTCTCTTCTAACCCTGCGACCCCTGCTTGCTGCTGCGCGCGCCCATCTGCTTTCCTTCGTCCCTCGGACACATCACTGCGGGGGGCACCTCCTGTGGCCAGGGGGCATGTGCAGCGGGTGCGTGGCTCGGATCTCAACCGTGCATTGCTTTCCTACGAGCTCCCTGCAGCGGAAACTTGTGCCCTAAGCGGATGGCTGCCCTGGTGTTCCGCAGCCTCCCAGGGCCCGTAGGGAGGTGATGCACGGGAGATGGTCATTCTCTAAGGCCGGCAAGGACCACAGTAATCATCTAGTCTGACCTCCTGTGTAACACGAGCCAGAAAGCGTCACCCCCTTGATTGCTTCCTTGCTCCCTGTCATTTGTGGCGGGGCTAGAATGTGTATTTCGGACAGACTCCTGTGTAACACGAGCCAGAAAGCGTCGCCCCCTTGATTGCTTCCTTGCGCCCTGTCATTTGTGGCGGAGCTAGAGTGTGTATTTCAGACAGATGCCTGCTTTTGATGCAACAACTCAACTGATGGGAAAAGTCATCCAACCCCTAGGTAAGTTGTGTCCATAATTAACTGGCCAGCACATTGAGAATCTATCTTCTACATCGCATTTGCAGTTTGACTTTGAGCTTCTGGCCACTGCTGTTTGCCTCTGTTAGGCCCCAGAGCCTTTCAACATCCCATACTCTCTCTTGCTACAGGTGTTTATAGACACCTGTAACGGGGCTAGGCCCTCAAGCCAAAAGGACCATAGAGAAGTCTTCCAGGCAGCTAGAGTGGCTAGGAAGAACCCAGCCAATCAGGAGCCAGGAGAGGGTACAAAAGGCCCTGCAAGCCTAGAGGCAGCTCAGTTGCAGGCCAGATCTGGAAGGGAGAAGGTGGAGGGGAGGGGAGTGGGGGAGCTGGCTGCAGAACCAGGGACAGCTCAGAGTGGAAAGCAGTTGAGAGGCTGATGGGATTGAAGATAAAGCCCTTTGCTAAGGGCCAAAGACTCGTCTCCAGGGGGCCCTGCTCTGGTTCAGAGGGAGGCAGCAAACGGAGGGAACGGCATTGAAACGAGAGACTCTTCAAAGGGCACGGGGATGGGCCCCTGTTACCCCGGAATGGGACTTGTGATCACACAGTGTGACGCGGCCGGGGGGCTGAGGCCATGCCGGAACCTGCTACAATACCCCAGAGCCTTCTCTTCCAGAAGCTAAAGGGACGGAGCTCCTTGCGTGTCCTGCTGCAAGGCCTCGAGGCAAACAGTTTGTGCCAGGCCTGCCTGAGGCTTCGATAAGCGGCTTTAAAAGTGGGTCTGGCCAGGCCAGGTTGATTCTGTCACTTTATCCAGACGCCTCAATAATCGGAATTGCCCCAGAGCGGGGGACCTGTCTATAGACCTGTCCCGAGGGGGACGCAGGGCCCAGGGCAAAGCCCCCGCCACAGGGCCTGCTCTGCCCTACCCCTTCCCCAAACTTCGTCCCTGTCCCATCGCCTTGTCCCCTTCCCTGAGCAAGGCAGGCCAGGGGATTACAGGGGTCTGGCACAGAAGGGTGACTCCTGCTGCTACCCCATATTTGCCACATGGGTGGGGTGGCAGAAGCCCCACCCTACCCCCCTTCCTGCCTGTTGTACCCCACTTCTCTGTGGTGCTGGAGCTTTCTGTTGCCGCTGAGGAGCTGTGCTCAGCAGGCCGGGAGAGGGTGGCGTGGCGGGATGGAGCAGGCTGCTAGGCCATGTGGTAGATATGGGGTAGGGAGGCATGGCCTGCTGACACCCTGTGCTAGGCCCCATAGCACCCGTCCCGGGTCCCTCCCGTCTGTAGGATGATTGGGGCGGCTGCAGGGCCCTGTGGATGGGACGGCTCTTCCTGTCTGCTACAGAGCTCCCGAGAGCTGAGAGCAGACACGCCTGTGTGCATTGGGGTTTTTAGGTGTGTGCATGTTTCCTCAGCCTCAGGCTCGCCGCTACCATGGTGATCATCCAAACAGAGCAGACTACGTCGCCTCCGAGTCTGTTTTAGTCCCTCCGCATGGACTTAACACCCCCCTTCCCCCCATCTCCCAAAACTCAATTGGAGGCTCCCAGGCCTGGCTCAGTACCAGCAAGTAGATAAATGCAAGTCAGCTCCTTGCAGCCAACTTCTCCTGGCCGAGGGTTTTGTGGCTCACTGTTGCCATTGGGTGGCAGCACAGGGTAACTTGGCTGCTTAAATTCTCCTCTGCTGAGACCTGCCTCTGGTGGTTATAGTCCAGGGAGAGCCCAGCCTGGATTTTTTTCAAAACTCGTCTTTAGTGGATGCTAGAAAGAGCGTCTGCTACAAACATTAGCTCCGCCGCAGACGGACACGGTTGGGCGACGAGACCTTTTCCATGCCAGTCTGCAAAGTGGCTGACGCACCAAATTGCGGCGCACGGACTTCAGACCAGTCACAGGCAATCCTGTGGGGCGCTGAACTCTGATCTGAGCATTCGAAACACTCGGCCCTTCCTTCCGATCAAGTGTTCCCTCCTGCCAGACAAAACACGTTTTATTGCGTGAGCATGGCCCACTAGATTCTCAAGACACAGATCATTGAATTTTTTTTTCTAAATACACTGGTGGCTTTTTTTCCCCTGGTCCAGATGTAGCAAAATCTTAATAAGTCATGAACTGGTGTGTGTATATAAAAACCAACGAGGAGTCCTGTGGCACCTTAAAGACTAATAGATTTATTTGGGCATCAGCTTTCGTGGGTAAAAATCCACTTCGTCAGATGCATACTCTGACAAAGTGGGTTTTTACCCACAGAAGCTGATGCTCAAATAAATCTGTTACTTTCTAAGGTGCCACAGGACGTCTCGTTGGTTTTGCAGATACAGACTAACACGGCCACCCCTCTGAGGAGCAGACCAGATTTTGACCCCCTTCTTCTGTTTGTCCATCTTGTCTACGAGACTGTGTGTATATAGTCCCTTTTTGGAGAGACTTTAAGAAGTGGGGAGGGGAAAAATCTTTCTGCACTGCCACCTAGTGGACATTAAAGTTCCTCCTGTAAAAGGTTGCGAACCAACTGAAGAGATGTAAAAAAAGCTTGAGGGGGTAGCCGAGTGAGTCTATAACTGGAAAACTTAAACAACAAATAGTCTAGCACCACTTTAAAGACTAACAAAACATGTCGATGGTATCATGTATCAGAGGGGTAGCTGTGTTAGTCTGAATCTGCAAGAACAACGAGATGTCCTGTGACACTTTATAGACTAACCGATGTATTGGAACATAAGCTTTCGTGGGCAAAGGTCCACTTCGTCAGATGCACGTAGTGGAAATTCCAGAGGCAGGTTGAAATATACAGGCATAAGAAAAGAGTTGCAATGAAGCAGAAGGTCAGAGATAACGAGGTCAGTTCAGTCAGGGAGGATGAGGCCCACATCTAGCAGCTGATGTGGAGGTGGGAACAGCAAGAGAGGAGAAGCTGCTTGTGTCCTTGGCTAGCCATTCACAGTCTTTGTTTCATCCTAAACTGATAGTGTCAAATTTGCAGATGAATTGTAGCTCTGCTGTTTCTCTTTGAAGTCTGTTTTTGAAGGTTTTTTGTTGCAGGATGGCTACTTTAAAATCTGCTACTGTATGTCCAAGGAGATTGAAGTGTTCTCCTACAGGTTTTTGTATATTCCCATTCCTGATATCTGCTTTGTGTCCGTTTATTCTTTTACGTAGGGACTGTCCAGTTTGGCCGATGTATATGGCAGAGGGGCATTACTGGCACATGATGGTATCATGAGCTTTCATGGGCACAACCCACTTCTTCAGATGAATGGTCCAGTTTCAAAATAAATAGGGGATGCGAGGGAGAGAAGGGGGAAAAAGGGATATAATGATGGCAAACATGTCCCGGGCTGCTCCCTGCAGTTTCCAAGCCAGGCAGCAGACTGTTCTTTTAATGATAATTATTATTTCAAAGCAGAAAGAACCAGCTATCTGCTTTCCCATGAGGGACAGTCCTTCAGAACGGGGTAGGGATTAAACCAACAGGGGTCTACAGAAATTGCTCCAAAACCGAGGGAACTTTAGGACCAGTGTAGAGAAATCTGGGCCGTGTCAAAGTGCAGTGCTGGGTGATTTATGCAGACCAAGGCTGGATTCCTGCGCTGATCTTCAGGAATCCGCATAACCCCTTCTCTGCTCCCAGTGGCCTGGAGGGTCGGTGTCTTACCGCTCTGTTTTGCCCCTAGGATAGATCACTGGAATAACGAGAGGGAGCGTGTGGTGGTGATCACAGATGCCACACTCCTGGTCTGCAAGTACGACTTCATCATGCTCACCTGCCTCCAGGTGCAGCGGATCCCCCTGAACTACATCGACCGTATCTGCCTGGGCCAGTTCACCTTCCCGGAGAGGTCTCTGGACAAGTGAGTGCCCCCGGCAGCCAAGGGCAGGAGTGGGGTGTGTGGCGCTGGGTGGGGGTGAGTGGTGGGAGGGAATTGTGGCCACTTTGAGAGCTGCAAGCTGGTGTCGCCCTGTTGTTCCCTGACTCCCTCTGATGTTCTGGGATCTCTCCGGGGCACTGAAAGGGAGACCCCACCCAGTGCAGCCCATGGTGGCGGGGGTGAGCCAACAGTAGAGCATGCTGGGATGTTTGGGGTGACGCTGTTACCAATGGGGGTGGAGAGGGAGAGAAAGGAGGCAGGCAATCCAATCCCATCCTAGGAGTATGGGGTGGGGAGAGGTCCAGCTCGTTACCAAATTTCACTGGCGATCAACCCAGGGTTACCCTGATACTGGCTTATTCAGTGCCGCTGTTGGATCAAGCACAAAAGGAATGGAACTCGCATGCGCACACACAGTTGTGCAGAGAAGCCGCCGAGCACAGTGGGTCCGGTGTCTCTGCCGGCAGTCACCAATCCAGGCCAGCGTGCTGACCCTACGGCACGTGGTCTGTGTGGCTCTTCTCTTGATTGAGCTGGGCCGCCCTGTCTCGTACACTGAGTTCTTTATCTGTGTCCGTCACTGAGACCCGCCGGACCTCATTCTCCTCATGCATATTCATTTATTCTTCTCCTCTTCACTGCCCCTCCATTTCTTGTCTTCCTCGTGTGCAAGTGAAGATTAGATCAGACCCCGATCCTCTCTGTAGCCTCATGGCCCTTCTCCACAAAAGCCCGGGCATTACCCTTACCCACACCCACGCACTCCCTTGTCGCAGGATAGAACGTTACAGAGCGGCCTTTCTTTCACAATCGTGCAGGTGCTCTGAGCTCCCTCGGATGCACATGGGCTAAGCCTCTGTGGTACCAAAGCCCATGCTTCACCGGGCATCTCTAGGCTTGGCAGTTCATAGCCCTAGCGCCTCTGGCTTCAGAACATCAGAACGGCCACACTGGGTCAGACCAAAGCTCCCTCCAGCCCAGAGTCCTGTCTGCCCACAGTGGCCACATGCCCCAAAGAGAGGCCTCAAGTGATCCCTCCCCTGTCACCCATTTCCAGAGAAACAGAGGCTAGAGACACCATCCGTGCCCATCCTGGCTAATAGCCATCGATGGACCTAACCTCCATGAATCTATCTAGCTCTTTTTTAAACCCTGTTAAAGTCCTGGTCTGCACCTCATCCTCTGGCAAGGAGTTCCACAGGTTGACTGTGCACAGAGTTTTAAACCTGCTGCCTATTCATTTCAGTTGGTGACCCCTAGTTCTTGTGTTATGGAAACAAGTCAATAACTTTTCCTTATTCATTTTTTCCACACACCAGTCATGATTTTATAGACCTCTATCTTCTCCCCCTTTACCCTCCTCTTTTCTAAGCTGAAAAGTCCCAGTCTTTTTAATCTCTCTTTGTATGTCAGCATTTCGAAACCCCTCGTCACACAGCTCAGACATGCACACAGCTGGGTCCAGTGCGACGCTCGCCCAGGGCAGAAGCTGCGGAGATGGACCGTGGCTCTCAGGCGTGGTCTAGCATTCTCACGGTCAAACCCCTTATGGCGACGGACGTGAGCCATGAATTTGGGACCCAGCTCTGCTGGCAGGTCTCTGGACTCCCCCGTCCTCCCACTTCGGAGTTAGTCTCTCGCAACTGCCCCCGAGCTGTCCACCCACCACGGGCTGGCTTTCTGAAGGCAGGTGGCCTCTTAGCTGCCAAGTGCAAGGGAGTCTTGCCATGCTCCAAGCTTCTCTTCCCTCCTGCCGGGAACAATCCTGCTCTAATCTCCTGTTCATGGAGCCTGTGGACCCAGTGGCAGCTCCCTCTGACCTGAGCGCTGGGGGGATAAAGCCTGCATCCCTCCCTGCAACCATACTCTGTTGCTAGCGAGAGCGCGCTCGGCCCCAGGAGATCAGCAATTACAGCCTGGTCTGAACGGCTGCTCAGACTGCTGCGAGCAGCCAGCTCCAGCACATGGGAATTACCGGGCCTTCCACAGCCTGTTTCATTGGTCCCCGTGGCTCGTTGCCTCGCGCGCTGTTTTCCTTCCCTGCCTCTGTTTGGAGGTTGCTTTTGCAAAGGCCAGAGTTCACCTCTTTGGTGCAGAGTTTGGGCTGGGGCAGGGCAGCGTGGAGTCTCTGTTTCCATGGCCAGGGGTCAGAATGAAGGGAGCCTGAGGTAGGAATTCTCACGTGGGGCCGGCTGTGGCCAGGCGATGGGCCCTGCTCTGAGTCAAGGCCTCAGCTGGTGGAACACAGCATCACTCTCTGAGGAGGGTCCTATACCTGGGTTTGGGCGCTGAACATGCTAGCTCTGCTTGCCCGTCACTTCCGGTGCTTGCCGCAGATAGAATCCTAGAACACCAGAACTGGCAGGGACCTCGTGAGGTCAAGTCCAGGCCCCTGCCCTCAGGTCAGGATCAAGCATCGTCTAGGTGATCCCTGACAGGTGTCTGTCCAACCTGCTCTTGGACAGACACCTGTCAGGGACTCCACAGCCTCCCCAGGAAATTCATTCCAGTGCTCAACCACCCAGACAGGTAGGAAGTTTTTCCTCATGTCCAACCTAAACCTCCCTTGCTGCAGTTTAAGCCCATTGCTTCTTGTCCTGTCCTCAGAGTTCAAGGAGAACAATTTTTCTCCCTCCTCCTTGTAACAGCCTTTTAGGAACTTGAAAGCTGCTCTCATGCCCCTCTCAGTCTTCTCTTTTCCAAACTAAACAAGCCCAGTTCTTTCAGTCTTCCCTCCCAGCTCATGTCTTCTCGGCCTTTTATCATTTTTGTGGCTCTTCTCTGGGCCTTCTCCAATTTCTCCACCGCTCTCCTGAAATGTGATGCCCAGAACTGGACACAAGACTCCAACGGAGGCCTAATCGGCAGAGTAGAGCGGAAGAACGACGTCTCGTGTCGTGCTCGCCACACTCCTGTGAATGCCTCCCAGAATCCTGTCGGCTTGTTCTGCAACAGCGTCTCCAAACCCTCCTCTCCAAACCCTCTGTCAGGGTCTGATGACAGCGGCCACGATTAGCAGTGAGCCGCTGCTGCGGCCTTGCTGGGCTAACTGCAGTGAGGGTGCCCGAAGCCGGCTGCCCTGAGCCCTCCCTACAGCTCCACGGCCCAGGGCTGCGCCTGTCTTTTGCAGGGGCTGTTGCTCGTCTCCACCCAGTGGCAGACACCCCCGGGGGTCCGTCGTTCAGGCTGTGTCCCGGGAGGGTAGGCAGAGAGGCTGGCATGAAGAAGTGAGGGGCACGGCTCCCGACTCCCTGCAGAGTGAGGGACTCTGTTCCTCACCAGATGTGGGCTGGGGTGGGGCAGCTTGGAGTGTGCAAGAGAGTCGGGAATGCAGCCGCATCCCTCACTGCTCCTACCGGCGATTGGGGCTCAGCCCAGGGGGAGGGGCAGGGGCAGTGTCACTGGAGCATGTGGCTCTGGGGTGGGTCCCTGTGTGGCAGGGAGGGGGCCAGTGAAGTGTGAGGGGGTCTGCGTTTGTTGCTCTGTGGTTTCCCTATGGTGGCGGCGCCTCCTCCCAGCTCTTCCTCGCTCCCCTCCCCCTCAAATGACCAGCCCTCTGCAATGTCTCTGCTCTGCTCGTCCGTATTCGGGTAGGACCCTTCGCGAGGACGCCCACCTGCGGCTTTCTGCCTGCTCCCGGCGTCCTCTCCCCGCTCTGGTGGCAGGTTGCATCGCCTCGGTCCGCGCAGGACTTGTGGCCGTGTTGCCGTGTGCTGCTGCAGCCCAGAAGTGGCTGCATTCCGGTGCCGTGCACGGCACTGCAGAGGTGCGGGCCTGTGGGTGGTGGTCGCGTTTCGCTCGCTTTCAGATCGAGTTGGAGGGACGGCGCACCATTCGCGACAAGCACGCGTTGTTATGAGAAATAACATCACCGAGGCTCAAGGAAAATAACCGTCCCGCCTTCTAATTGGCTCCCTCAGGGCGCTGGAGGAAGTGGATTTGGCAGCCTTCCCGTGGCTCTATTGCTTTTGGACTGCGTTTGGGGTAGACCCTCACCTGGTGCCCATCGGCACCGCGGTCGGTGTGCACCAGCTGAGAACACGGCCCAAGGAGGTATGAGAAATAACATCACCGAGGCTCAAGGAAAATAACCGTCCCGCCTTCTAATTGGCTCCCTCAGGGCGCTGGAGGAAGTGGATTTGGCAGCCTTCCCGTGGCTCTATTGCTTTTGGACTGCGTTTGGGGTAGACCCTCACCTGGTGCCCATCGGCACCGCGGTCGGTGTGCACCAGCTGAGAACACGGCCCAAGGAGGCCGCTCCATGTCAGCATATGCAGCTCAAGGAAAATAACCGTCCCGCCTTCTAATTGGCTCCCTCAGGGCGCTGGAGGAAGTGGATTTGGCAGCCTTCCCGTGGCTCTATTGCTTTTGGACTGCGTTTGGGGTAGACCCTCACCTGGTGCCCATCGGCACCGCGGTCGGTGTGCACCAGCTGAGAACACGGCCCAAGGAGGCCGCTCCATGTCAGCATATGCAGGAAGCCGAGGTAGCCAAGACCTGGCTGCACTGGCTTTTAAAGCCTGGCTGCACTGGCTTTTAAAGCTGCCTCCGATCCGAAGTGGATCAGACCTCGGCAGTGCGTGTTCTGTTGTTGCTGTCCTCCGGCAGGCTGCAGGGGGTTATTTAAGCACCGTTGCATGGGTTGAAATTGGTTTTACTCTTGACGGGGGGGTGGGGAGGGGGATGCCGCTTCTCTGCCTGTTCTAATCACCGCTCACGCCGTGCTGGTCTGACACTCGCAGACCCCTTTTCCTTGCTGCTTCAGCAGTAGTGACTCTGGCCCAGGAGACGAATTCTGAGAAGCAGGGCGTATGGATAACCCCCAGGCAAAAACAGGCCAGACCCATCCCTTCCCCTGCCCCACGCCGGCCCCGTAGGCGCCACTAGGTTTTGTTTCTGAAATTGAAGGAGAGGGTCCGGCGCACCCTGCTCATTGCTCATGTGACCTTTGTCTTCCTAAGCAAGAGCTCAGGCCATCGAGG